TGTTGTTTGCTACATGATATTTATTGTATGTTATTTATTGTATTTTTTGTTGTTTGTAGCTAGCTGCGGGCTGTTCGTTACTTTTTGTTTCCCAATTGTTGTTTGTTGCTTGTTATCCATTATTATTTTTCTCTTCTCAAATTAATCATTGCAAGAATTTATAAATGAATAAATATCCTTTGATGTTTGGTATTATTTCATATTCTTCTTTGTCGTTATCCATATTTCAATTTTAACAAAAATTATCTTTATATTCTATGAGGAAATATAAATATATTTTAATTCATTAAACATATATATATTGATTATCAATATAAATTAACTAATCTCCTAAATAAATCGACTATTTCAATATTTCAAATCCCATTATTTCTTAAATAAATCAATTAAAAATAGAATCTTTTCGATATTGCCGAAACTAAGACAAATATTCGGCAAATCCTATTTTCCAATATTCTTTAATATAATTCAACAATTCAATCTATTTATCTATGTCCCAAAATACGAAAAAGAATAATTATTTATAATTTATAAAAGATATATTTGTCAAAAATGCATCATATTAAATACAATTTACATATTTTAATATAGTTATATATCATCACCATCAATTTTTAGATCAATTCATAATATCATAAAAAATATAAAGCCCTTAGGATACATACATTATATCATAAAAAATAATCTGAAAATGATTATTTTCGGCAATATGGAAATATATATATATATATATAAACAAGATTCACGCGCCATCTCAGATCAAGACTAGCGCGCTATTGGGACCCGTGGGGCGGTGCAATATTTGTTCATTCTTGAACTATTGATCTTGATCATTCGAACCTGCCATCCACATGCTGCCATTTTGGCCACTGTTTGCGCTTTTTCTTGTTCTCCTGAGAGGTCCGGTCCCAAGTCCGGAGGATCCTCAAGATTTTCACATCTTTGCACTAGATTCCCGAGGATTCGGCGCGAGGGTTACCCATCCGGCCTCAGGGATGGGTGGGAGAGCAGCTCTGATCCAGCTCTATCAGGCCCTCCTGCAAAATGCCATGAGGCATGGGCGTCGTCGGGCTTAGGCCTTGTTGAATCACGCTTACGTTGCAATCGGTTGAAGCGCTCGTACGCTCGAGCCTGTGTTCGAGCCATGAAGGAGGGCATGTCCATATTCAAAATATTCAAAAATCGATCCATTTATCCACATCAGGTCCCCTTTCGTATCAAACAGATGATATTGGCTAAACAACCTCCTAATCGATCTAAGTTTAATATCCCTGCGGTTGTTCCCAAAATTCCAGGCCATCTTCGTATCCCACAATGGGATACATCTAGAGCACTTGAATATCACTCCTGGGTTCATTGGTGTGATCAAAACCCATATGACACCATCGCTATTCAGGAATCCGGATGGTCGATGACCAATGAATGGACCAATGCACATTGGCACATCGTACACTCAACAGACCGTCTTGTATCTATCCTGTTCATGGTGCGCTCTGCACACTCATTCGTCAGGACCAGCTCTCGATAGCTCATCACATTCCCGGCCACTGATGCAGGTACGATTGAACCTCGCCAGACCACAGGACTATGTGATAATCTATCAACAGGCCTGGTCCACTCAACATGGGATTCGACAGATCCTTACCAAACGTAAGAGTATATGGACACACCTGCAGAATTGTCTTGCGCAATTGCCACAATGACACCATCTAGTTGTGTGTGGTGACTTCAATACCCCTTTAAATCACATACCACATCATGTGCACACCATTGATCCTAAATACCATCAAGCAGTTCAAAAGGATAAGTATATCCTCATACAATTGGTCCAGGATTTTGGTTTGACAACATTGCATTGTCGTGACAGGTTTCAAACCACCTTCCGGCATGATCAACATGCCTCCCATATCGATTTTGCTTTGATGCGCCGTTGCCAAATCAATTGGCCACTAATGGAACCACAAATGATATATAATTTTCCATTGAATTTCGGTATAATTGGCCCACATCATCATCCACTGTGTTGGTCAGTCCCGAAATGATATCTCAATCCGAAACCCAAACCCATTATTCTGCTTGATAGACATCGAATCCACCAGGAAATGATGCAGAACACTCTCAAATGGCAAGGTTTAGCTGGGAGGCCCGTGAGTTCTTGCATTGTGTCCAACATGTCTGTCCCATTCCGTTCCTAGAGGTAGAAACCCAACTCACTACCCTTTGCAAGATTTGGTTTCCCAAAAACATCTCCATTGCCACGATTTATCCTCAAATGACCTTTCTGGACCTGATTAATCGATCGTTGCCTTCCATCGTCTTGGCCTAGAAAAACCTAGTCCAGTTTCGACGACTTCACAAACAAATTCGACAGTTCTGTCGTC